AACTTCATGGTGTAGCAGCCAAGAGAGCTGTGGAGGAACCTAGCAGAAGGGTGAAGCACCGTAGTTACTCAAGGAAACTTCGTGATAGCAGCCTGGAGAAGCTGCAGAGGATCCTGGTAGTGAAGCCCGGAAGAACCTAAAGATATTAGGGTAGTGAACTTCCAGAGGTGGAAGGGAAGTTCCGGTGGATTACTTGTAGGGAGTTGATAGTGTTTGGTTGTCAGTAGCGTGCAAGACGCAGTGAGAGGTGAGTGATTGTTGGTATTCTTATGTCAAGGAGTGTTTAATACTGAAGTTTAGAGTTACAGTCGTAGGCTGGATTACCTACAGATGTATGCGTTCTAGGACTGACAGTGATCGATTGATCATTGTTGTGCATCAATGAACATTTATACTGATATATGTTATTGCATTCAAATGCTGATTTTCTATATATATATTATCTTGCTGATAGTGCAACAGTGTTTGTAGACTTGATCAACTTGAGGTGGTTGATAGTATCAGGTGGTGAACCAGGAGATAGGATACCACTTGATAAGCTGATAATAGAGTTCTGATGGTGTTGGAGTGCAACCTGATTGTAATATTATAGAGTATAGGATTCATTATTATTATATGTGTGTATGTATCGTGTATGTGCTTTGTCCAGTAAATGTATCACAATTTGCTGGTGTTTGCCCTTGTCCTAGTGAGGCTTCCCATGAAATAGTACAGAATAAGAGAGAGAGAGAGAAAGAACCAGGAACCACTGCTGTGGGCAGGGTAGGAGGTAATACTAGTAAGTCATAGGGGATTGAGGAGATCATATCTCATAAGGAGAAAGTGGGGAGTCACAGCGGCTCGAGTGGGTGTGTGCACGTGACAACGAGGCTAAGTGTTAGAGCCGCATCCCCTAAACGTGTGACGTTGAGCCCCTCTCCAAGAGCCAGAAGTGCCAAGGGTGATCTCCTAGTGAGGTATAAGCACTCTACTGAGGTGTGGGTTGGGTTGTCCGTAGAGAAGGATCAACGACGACAACACCAACCAACCCACAGTCTATAATAAATCTGCTTCTCCTCACAGCAGAAATAGAATTGATCCCAGCACCGATCCTTGAGATACTTCACTCGTTACTGTTTGCCAGTCCAACTTCTCACCTCTTACGGGAACTCTCTGGCTCCTTCCTGTTAGGCAGTTCCGAATCCATGTTAGGGCCTTTCCCCCCCCTACCCCCCACCCCCGCCTGCCTCTCGAGTTTGAATAGCAGTCTCTTGTGCGGTACTGTATCAAAGGCTTTTTGGCTGTCCAGAAATATGAAGTCTGCCCAACCTTCTCTGTCCTGTCTTATCCTCGTTATTTTATAATAGAATTCCAAAAGGTTTGTTAGGCAAGATTTTCCTCTCCAGTACCCATGTTGATGTTTGTTCACAAACCTTATGTTCTCTAGGTGTGCAACCAGTCTTAGCCTAATTACTCTTTCAAGTATTTTAGAGGGGATGCTTGTCAGTGATACAGGTCTATAGTTAAGTGCCTCCTCTCTATCACCTTTGTTGAAAATCAGTACAACATTTGCCCTCTTCCAGCAATTGGGCAATTCTCCTGACATAAGTGATTCATTAAAGATCCTTGCCAGATGCACGCTGAGGGCCTGTGCTGCCTCTTTTAGTATCCACGGTGAAACTTTGTCTGGTCCAACCGCTTTAATTTCATCCACTGTTGTCAACTGTTTCATTACCTCCTGTGCTGTCACCTCTAGATCTGATCTGATCTAGGTCTTTCATCTAGGGTAATCTCTTCTAACAATGGGAACTGCTCAGGTTCGGTCGTGAACACTCCATGGAAACTGGCATTCAGTGCCCCACAGATCTCCTTGTCACTTTCAGTATATGCATCCTCTGTTTTCCTTAGTCTTGTCACCTGGTCGTTCACCGACATTTTTTTTTCTTATATGGTTATAAAGTAATTTAGGTTGCTTTTTCTCTTTGATCACAATTTCGTTCTCACAATTTCTTTCCAATGCTCTTCTTATGTTAATGTAATCGTTCCTAGATCTGTTGCATCTGATCCTGTTGTCTCTGTCCTTTATCTTCTGTACTTCCTCCACTCCCTTCTGCTGGCCATATTTACTTCCTGACACTGTCTATTAAACCATGGGTTATTATAGTCCCTCTTACTTTTTTCCTTTACGCTTGGTATAAATCTCTCTTCTGCCGCCTGGCATTTCCGTATGACTTGGTCCATCATATCTTGGACTGTTTTTCCTCTATTTTTTTCCTCCCACTGCACTTCTCCCAGATAGTCCCTTATCCTTCTGTAATCCCCTTTCCTGTAGTCAACTCTCCTTTGCCAGACCTCTTGTCCCTTGGTCACAAGTTTGAGTCCCATCATGTAGTCAAAGACTAGAACACAATGGTCACTGGCCCTTAGAGGTATTTCATACTCCAAATTCTCGATGTCTTCTACGTTCTGGGTGAAAATCAGGTCTAATAGGCTCGGTGCATCTCTTTCTCTTTACCTTGTGTCTTCCTTCACATGTTTTATAAGGAAATTCCTGTCTATAACATCTATTAACTTTGCTTTTTAGGTCCCCAATGACCAGCAGCTTGTTTTTGTCTAATGTTGCTGCCCTCTGCAGTTCAACTATGCATGCCTTGTTGTTGTCATCATACTCCTGCCTGGGCCTTCTACTGTTTGAGGGGGATTGTAGATTACCAAGATCACAATTTTCCTCCCATCTGCTGTCAGAGTTCCATGTATAAAGCTTGTGCTCTTATTGGTACCCCGATTTCCCAGGTCTTCAAACTTCCATTTCTGCTTTATTAGGAGTGGCACTCCCCCTCCCTGTCTCTGTGTCCTCTCTTTTCTTATCACCTGGTAGCCCTCTGGAAAGATTGCATTCGAGATCATGCCATATATTTTAGTTTCCACTATTGGAACTATGTCAGGATCTGCCTCACTACCTCTTTTATCTCTACTGCTTTATTAGATACCCCATCAGCATTGGTGTACCAAACCTTCAAACTCTTCTTGGAAACTCTGGTACCAGAGTTCACCCTTTCTCTGGGGGGGACCTGGGGTGTCTGGGGAGTGAATGGGGGCTTGGGGGATCTGGGGGTGTCTGGAGGTAAATGGGGTCTGGAGGGATGCTTGGGAGATGAATGGGGTCTGGGCATCTAGGAAGGTAGGTAGTAAGGCCTGGGTAGGTAGGTATGGAGTAGGAAGGGCATACTGGGTCTGAAAATTAGTGAGGGTCTGAGAGGCATAGGAGGGTTGAAAGGTAGCGTGAGGCTGGGAGTCAGATAGAGGTTGAGAGGTTGGGGGGGGGGTGTTATAGGGGGTGGGGGGGTGATATAGGGGGTGGGGGGGAAGAGGGGAGGATGGAGCATAGATAGTGAGAGTGGGAGAGAGGTGGTATTAGTAAGTGGGGAACTCAGGGGGAGGTGTGGGCATTGGCGGCAGGGGGAGGGAAGAGGTAAATAGAGGAAAAGGTGGGGCAGGTCCCACCTGTCTCCCATGGGGGGTCCATGTGACCCCCTAGCATGGGGAGGGGGTCACATTAAAGAAGGGGGGCAAAGGAGGGGTGAGGGCTGGGCAGGTTTTGTGGTTTGAGGGGATGATGGGGTCCTTGGAATGTGGGATGAAGCAGATGGATTTAAATGCAATGGGGGTCAAAGGGGACAGGGGAGTTATTGGGGAGATAAGCAGGGGCGAGGGATGGGAAGGCTGATTTGAAGAGGGTGTGACCTGGGAAGTTGTGGGCTGGTTAGCACGGGAGGGGTGGGTAACTACGCTCGAATGGGAAGAGTTGTGTCGGGCAGGTCGGCTCACCCTGTGGTCTAACTGTTCATCTTTTGTCATGTATCTGTCAATATATATACGTTGTAATAGTTTTTGTTACCTCTGAGTAAATGTTTGTGTTGCAGTATGTAAACCACTGCCTCTTCATTAGTGAAGTGTACCAGGACAGGTCATTTCTTGTTACAGTTGTAAGGCCCAATGCTGCGGTGGATTTCCATCTCATTCCCTGCCATCTCGGCTCTAATATCTCTCAAGATCCCCTGATACTCAAAATCTTCAATCTCCACCCTCTCCTGCCTCTCATGTGACAGATGACATCACCTGTCACCAGGTCTCTATATTTGTCACAGCAGAACCATCTGGGATGGGGTTCTTTCATGTGTGTGTGGGGGGGGGGGGAAGAGGGGAGAGGAAAATAAAAAATTAGTAGTTAATAACAGTTGAGTGATAGACAGTTGAGAGACGGGCCGAAACAGCAGAGCTCAACCCCCGCATGCACAACTAGGTGAATACACCCCCTCTCTCCCTCACTCTCATGTCCCCCTCTCTCCTTCACTCTCACACCCCATCCTCACTCTCACACCCTTCTCTCCCTCACTCTCACACCCTTCTCTCCCTCACTCTCACACCCTTCTATCCCTCACTCTCACACCCTTCTCTTCCCTCACTCTCACACCCTTCTCTCCCTTACTCTCACACCCCATCCTCACTCTCACACCCTTCTCTCCCTCACTCTCACACCCTTCTCTCCCTTACTCTCACACCCTTCTCTCCCTCACTCTCACACCCTTCTCTCCCTTACTCTCACACCCTTCTCTCCCTTACTCTCACACCCTTCTCTCCCTCACTCTCACACCCTTCTCTCCCTTACTCTCACACCCTTCTCTCCCTCACTCTCACACCCTTCTCTCCCTCACTCTCACACCCTTCTCTCCCTCACTCTCACACCCTTCTCTCCCTCACTCTCACACCCTTCTCTCCCTCACTCTCACACCCTTCTCTCCCTTACTGTCACACCCCTCTCTCCCTCACCATCTGATTACTTACAACAAATTAACCAGGAATACTATACTCTGCCAGCATACCTCTGTTTCCTTATAAATTGTTTTGATTTCACATGACAGGTGTAGCAGTAGTAGAGAGGAGCAGGCCACGCTCAGGGTCAAATAACAGGTCACAATAAGTTGTAGAATAGATATAATTGTTTTGAAACATTGGCTTCAATGAAAGTAGTAGAAGTTATTGTTTTTGTTATATGTAAATGGTGTATCTTATATGGCAAGTAACAAGTGTTTTTTGTCTCTCTTTCCTCCTCTATCCTTTCCAATCCTCTTCCCGGGCCTCCTTATCCATCCTCTGGCCCTTCTCCTCCTCCCACTGGTCCTGCTCCCCCTACAGGCTCCATCAGCAACATAGACGACGGGGAGTACAAGTGCCGGGACGGGTCGTTCCCTGAGATACGGAACAAGGTGATCTCTGGCGTGGTGGGCGCAGCATCCTCTGTCACCTCCATCCAGGTGGCCAACCTCCTCAGGCTCTTCAAGATCCCACAGGTGAGGCCCTCAGGCTCTTCAAGATCACACAGGTGAGGCCCTCAGGCTCTTCAAGATCACACAGGTGAGGCCCTCAGGCTCTATAACAGAGTCCATCACATTCATGAATTTACATTGAGACATATGCGCACTCAGACGTGGTTGTGATCAGACAAACAAGCACTCAGATGGTGAGTTATACCCAGCAAACAAAACAACCAAAAAGTTACTTTTCATTATTGTTTAGTTTGTTGCAAAGTTGCAACAACACCGCTGTTGTTCAACTGTGTGTGCTGAGTTAGGCCTATGCTGCTAGCACCTCAGACTAGCGGGTAAATCCCTAATTGTTTGTATTAATACATAAATCATATATACTTGAAGCCAAAATCTCGACGAAGGAAAAAATTCAGTGGATTTTTATTTTTTTAAGTTAACTTCGTCAAAAGTCGATGCAAGTTACCTTTTATTTTAAAGTTAGTCTGTTGTTTGTAATCGACACTTCGCTCATTCATGCCATTTTGATACTCAACACTTAACTTCTTAAATTCACTTAACTTCCTTACCTGATGCTGCTCACTAAGTAGAACCAGCTACTGGACATCCAGGTCTGAATAGTTAGTTATCTCTGTGACTTCTCGTTAGTTATAAGCAATCTTGTTATTACAAAGGATTTATAAAACAAGGAAAAAGCTAATGACTTCGTAGAAAGAAACATTGATAAAAGCTTAAAAATAATTATAATAACTAGCAATAAATAAATAAATAAGAGTAGAAAATGTTATACTTTACAGCTGTGAGTTTATTTAAAAACTCAATAACTGAAGTTAAAATTCTTCCACTACATTCTGTGCAACAATGAGGCAATTAGCACGTTATGCTTGAGATCGGGAGGAAAAGAAGGGCTACACATTAATCATTTAAGCAACATACTTCTCTGTTATCTAAATGAAGAGTTTCACCCAATTTTAGTCATAAGGGTAAATTTTCAGTCTTCCCTGGTATCTGAAAGCTTTGCCACACTCTTTTTCAATAAGACATTTTTTAAGTTAAAAATAATTCTACCTCAAATATAACAAATCATACAAACATGAAATTACAATAGAGTGAGATATGAGAAAATGTTTGAGGCATACGGGAATGGAAACAGGGTCCTGGGTCACCCTAGGCTCTGAACCTTGAGCATATCAAGGTCCATGCATTAAGGAACGCTTTTGGGGTAACTCTGAACTTTGATCTGATTTCCTCATCCAGCTCCAAAGGATTCCTCAAGCAACCATAGTAACTTTAAAGTGAACTAGAAATCATTGATTGTTAAGGTCAACAATGGACACACTACAAGCGCCGACCCGCAACTATAAACATTCCCAGGACGAAGGAGGCCTTGAGGCGGCGTCCCTCCATCCTCACATATGACCACTATTTATAAAACTGAGTTTTGGTTAAGCACTGTAAAGAGTCTGGGCGTCTTTCGCTTTACCCTAATGGTAGTTGCGACCAGTTGCTCTGCATTTTGCACGTAGCACTCTCTGTAAAAGAATTTATCATCATTCTCAAAGAGCTGTTGATTTTATGATAATTTTTGAATATTTTATACTTGAGATTAAACTCTTACCAATCACACGAGAATGATCGGGAATGTTCCCAAATTTATAGTCTCTGAGATACGATCGAGAGCTATGAGCTTGCGCTGAATGACCGGAATCTAATAAAGACACAGGGGGAACATGATCACAACATACAATGTATTGATATTGACAAATAATATGAAACTTGCCCTATTCGAAGAGGGTGGTACTAGGACGATGGAACATTATATTTGTACTCCAAGTTAAGTCAAAAAAATTATAAGCCTGAGAGTAGTGAGGGGTTCACACACACGTGAAGGTAGCCAAGAAGACAAACTCGAACTCCAAATATACGAATTCAAATGTCAATTCAACAGGAATCAAGGGGATGGGGAGGAGTCACATCAGGGAATTAACAGTTCAGGTTGCTAGGATCAGCTTCAGACAGAACAAACACCCAAACACGGCCATGCACGCACGCACTCACGCCCCCCCCCCCAAAATACAAACACACACCTCTCTCCAACCCCATCCCACATAAACAACACATCTCTTACACATAAATACATGCCTCTCCTTCACATACACACATACAGACACACACACACACACAGGCACGAGCGCACACACAGGAGAGGTCCTGCCTCTCTCAATAGGTTGAGAGGCGGGACCAAAGAGCCAAAGCTTAACTTCCGCGAGCACAACTAAGTGAGTACACACACACACACACACACAGTTAGCGTATTGCGAGTGTAGAGGGCGTCACGCTGTGCGCTCTGGCCGTGTTATAAAAGTGAAGAAAAACAGTAGAAACAGCACCACTGAAAATAAGTATTGAGTACATCATGGCATTGTGGAATTGTGGAGCCGACTAGCGTGGACGTGACCTCACCAGCTGTGACGCCGAGACGCCGGGACATCACACCTGACGAGCCGCGTGTAGTACTTTCTCGCCTGTTTGTGCTGCAGATAGTGCAAGGTATCGCGGAGCGCCTTTTTGGCTAGGTTGTTACTGCAATGACAAGATCAGGAAGGGGCTCAAGGTCAATCACCAGCAGGGACGAGGAGGAGGACAGATTTTTAGACAAATTAATAGAGAAATTTGTAGAGAGGAGCGATAAAATGGAGGATCTAATCCAAGGGATTAAAAGCGAGTTATTTCAACAAATACAGGATACAGTAGAGAGACAGAAACAAGAGCTTATGCACTATATTCAGGAAGAGATTAGAAAGGGAAGAGAGGACTGGGAGCGGGAATGTGCTCAGATCACAAACGAATTAGGTGGGATTAACAGCATGGCTAAGGACAGAGGATTAGTGGGGGATGGGTTAGTGAGTGCAGTTGGGGTGGGGAATCTCCAAGGGAGGGGCTACCAGCATGACAGTGACTTATTGAGGTGAAGGGCCATTATAATACATGGATTATATCGAATCTGGGCAACCAACAAGACAAGAAAGGATAGAGATGGAAAAATATAAATTGCATGAGATATTGAGACGTATTGGAGCAGGAATGGCAGAAAACGAGGAGGACATCAGCCGCCGGGTTGGACCTTACAATTGTACCAAGAATAGACCTGTTCTGGTGCAATTCTCCAATGAGGAGGCTGTGGAGTACATAATGAGGAACAAGCATTTACTCAGAGGAAGTGAAACCCATTACAATGTGTTTTTTGAGAGGTTTATGACGAAAGATGAGCAAATAGCCCACAAGAATAGATGGCAAGCACGACACCGTGCCCCTAGCCTCTCAGGTAGCCTCACCTCACAGGTCACTTCCCAGGTTACCTCCTAGGTCACATCCTACCCAACTCAGCCCTCCTATACCTCCCCCCTGCCTCAGCCCCCCAAAACCCCCCTTCCCCTTCCACATTTGCACTTCCCAAACAACTCCCCTGCCCCTGCTACATCACACCTGTCAACGACCCCAGTGGATCAAGCCATGCCCTCCCCAAACCCACCTTCCCACCCCCCTTCCCTACAACCCCTTCCTACTCCCCTGCCCCTTCTACCCCATTGCCTTCACTTCCATCTGCTACATCCCAGCTTTCACTGCACCCCCCATCCAGTCACCCCCAAACCCCTCCCAACCCTCACCCCTCCTATGCACCCCCAGCCCACATTTAACCCCCCTCACCATGTGACCTCCTAACACCTTCTCCCTTCTCCCTCTTCCCCTCTTCTACCCTAAAAACCCCCACCTACCCCTAATTCCCCCCTAACTAATACACCCTCTCTTCCACTCCCAGCACCCATGCTCCATTCTCCTCTCAGCCCTCTGCCCTCAATATCCCTCCCCCCCCGCCCCCCAACCTCTCAACCTCTATCTGACTCTCAGTCTCACTCTACTTCTCAACCCCAATATGCCATTCAGACCATCCCTAACTTTCAGACCCATTATGCCCTTCCTACCCCCCCCCCCTAGATGCCCAGACCCCATTAGCCTACCAGGCACTCCCAGGCACCCCAGACACCCCCACAGCCCCCATTCGCCCCCCAGACACCCCCCAGACCCCTGGCGAAAGGGGGAACTCTGGCACCAGAATTTCCATGAAGAGTCTCAAGGTTTAGTACACCAATGCTGATGGGGTATCCAATAAAGCAGAAGAGATAAAAGAATGAGTTAGTGGGGCAGATTCAGACATAGTGGCAATAGTGGAAATTAAAATAAATGGTATGATCTCGGATGCAATCTTTCCAGAGGTGTACCAGGTGATAAGAAAAGAAAGAACACAGAGACAGGGAGGGGGAGTGGCACTCCTAATAAAGCGGAAATGGAAGTTTGATGAGCTGGAAAATCCAGGTACCAATGAAAGCACGAACTCCATACATGGAACTCTGACAGTGGATGGGAAGAAGATTGTAATCTTGATACTCTACATCCCCCCACCAAACAGTAGAAGGCCCAGGCAGGAGTATGAGGACAGCAACAAGGCATGTATAGACGAACTGCAGAGAGCAGCAACAATAGCTAACAGAATGAGAGCAAACCTGCTGGTCATGGGGGACCTAAATCACGGAGAGATAGATTGGGAAACAGGGAATTCCCATGGCGGAGAAGAGACCTGGGGAGCGAAGCTGGTAGAAGTTATTGACTGGAATTTCCTAACACAGCATGTGAAGGAAGACTCTAGGGAAAGAGGAGGGGATACGCCCAGCCAATTAGACCTTATTTTCACCCAGAATATAGAAGACATCGAGCATTTGGAACATGAAATACCCATAGGAGCCAGTTCCCATTGTGTCCTAGTCTTTGACTACATGATGGAACTTAAAATTGTGACCAAAGGACAAGAGGTCCGGGAAAGGAGACTTGATTACAGAAAAGGGGACAACAGGAGGATAAGGGACTACCTGGGAGAAGTGCCGTGAGAGGAAGAAATTAGAGGAAAAACAGTGCAAGGTATGATGAACCAGGTCATATGGAAATGCAAGGAGGCTGAGGAGAGATTTATT